CACGCGTGGGTGCCCGAGGGGTGGTGGGTGAGCGCGGGGCGGCGGCAGCAGGAGGGACCCACGGGGCTGGGGACGGACGGACGGACGGACGGACGGGGTGGGTGCCGCCACCTCCCCTTTAAGAGGCGCGGCCCCATTCCTGCCCGCCGACAGGCGGCGCGGGGCCCTTAAAGGGGCCGTTCCCGCCCGCCCCAGCGGGGCCGCGGGTTCGCGTCCCGGCTCGGCCTACTTCCGCCTCCAGGGCCTGGGCCCTGCCGCTGCTATGGTAACGGGGGGGCCAGGTTTGGGGTCCCCTTTAAGAGATTTGGGGTCCCCATAGGGTGGGCCCGGCCTGGGGAAGGGGGGGAGAGGTTTGGGGTCTCCGCCATGGGGCCTTCGGGGTCTTTTCGGCTCCCCACGGGCTGCGGTTACCGGTAATGGAGGCGTGGGGTGTCGTCGTCCCTCTCTTCCCCGGAGGGGAGGGAGTGGGGAGCCCCTCAGGCCTCCTTGTGGGGGACAGGGTGGCTCGGGTGTCCCCCCAGGACAGGGGGGTACCCTGTGACTGCAGCCGGGGGGGGGGCCTTCCCTTTACCCACCCCCCCTCCCCACAGGCCTGCCGCCTCCAGAAGCTGTTCGGGACCGACGGGGACCTGGCGGACGAGGTGAGGGACGGGGACGGCACCTGCCTGGCACCGGTGACAGCCGTGGGGACACCGCCGGGGCCTGGCACCACCCCAACACCCACGGGGGAGGCTTTAAACCCCCCCCCCCACACACACCCCCTGGCTGGTGGGTGCCGGTGGTGGTAACTCGTTAAACGGCGTTAATGAGTTATTACGAGGTGGCTCGCCCTTGGGTTTAATCCCCAGGGGTTATCGGGGTAGGGTCCTGTGCTGGCCTGGTCACCCCGTGGGTGGCTCTGGGGGGGGGACACAAGGGAGGGACTGGGGGGACGGGGCTGTTTGGCTGCCCGGTGCTTTCTCCTCCTGCAGGATTTCCTCTCTGCCGTGGAGGACGCAGAGAACCAGTTCGTGGTCCCCAGACGTTTGTCACCCAGCGATAGCCCAGTCTCTCCCAGTGTGCAGTCTCCAGCTCCCAGCCTGCAGCCCCTCCGCGCATTGGGACCCCAGCTCGGTCACTGTGCCGGTAAACCCCCCGGCCTGCGGCCCCTCGCCAGGCAGGGGGAACAGCCCACGGGCTGCCAGGGACCCCCAGCCGGGGGAGCAGCCCCCCAGGATGAGCTGGACAATGATCTCTTCCTGGCTGCCTGCATGGAGCTGGAGGGCCCCGAGCTGCCGGCGGGGGCAGGTGCTGCCCGGCCACCCCCAGGCCAGTGGGAGAAGCCCCCACAGATACGCATGGGGCAGGAGAGCCCCCAGGAATGGGGGGCCCCCAAGAAGCTGCGGGTGGGAGAGGAGCTGGTCTCCCCTGGCTCTGGGGGGCTGGAGGACAGGCAGGACCCACTGCCTGCCCCACAGGCAGCTCCCACTCCTAAGCTGGTGCTGCGGCCCAGCGCAGCTGGTGCCTGCCCTCCCAGACCCCCCACCATCCCCCTGGGAAAACCAGGTGGCTCCTGGGGCTCTGTCCCTGCTCCCAGAGGTCCAGCCCCGAGGCCTTTCCAAGCATCCCCACGTTGGCCGGGAGCGAGCAGCTCCTCCGAGGGGCTGCGGGTGCCCCGGACCCCCATGGCGCAGACTCCCCGGCAGAGCTGCCCCCCACCCCGGCTGCCCCGTGGCCCTCCCACCAACCCACCAGCCTTGATGAGCTGTGTGGAGCCCCCGCCGAGGCAGCCGCCCAGGCTGGCCCCAGGCAGCCTGCAGACGCCAGTGGTCACCAACCACCTCGTGCAGTTGGTGACGGCAGCCAGCAAAGCACCCGGGGCTGCCCCCCGTCTCCCACCGCAGGGGAAGACTCGCCGGTTCCCGGGGCCTGCCGGGATCCTGCCCCAGCAGGTGGGTGCAGGGGATGGGGTGGGAGGGTCTGGGAGCATCTGGTGAAGAGATGCAAAACCCTGGACATCTCTCTCTCTCTCTCTGTCTCTCTCCCATAAGCACGCCGGGAAGCTGCTGGAGGAGATCCTTGTTTCTGCTCCCCAAACTCCAGCTCATGGGGCTGTGGCGAAGCCGCGGACAGAGGTAACCCCCTGCTCTGGCGCAGAGCTGGATATGAATCTCAGTGGCAGTGCTACGGGCAGTCCCTGAGGCCGCAGCTTTCAGAGGGTGATGCTGGAAGAGGAGGGAGTCCCTGGGGCTCCCCCCTTGCTGTGACAGAGCTGCGAGATGTGCTGGCTCAGCTGCGGGGTGGTGACCGCTGTTGTCCTGTGACTTCAGGGACTGCCCAGCTCCTCGCCACCCACAGAAGAGGATTTTGGGAAGGGCCCCTGGCTTGCCATGAAGACAGAGCTGGGGCTGGACGAGAGGGACCCTGGCTGCTTCCTCAGGACCTACAGCGTGGTCATGGTGCTGCGGAAGGTGAGGGAGACCCTGGGTGAGGGCACCGGCCCTGGGGACTCAGCTTCTTGGCTTTCCCCTTGCCCCTTGGAGCTGTTTCCAGGGCTGGGCATCAATGTGGGGAGGGGGCCGAGCTGGGCTGACCGCAAACATCCCATGGCCCTGCGGGGCTGCCCTCGGGGACATTGGCATGATGAGGGTCTACGTGTTCAGGCAGCCTTGAAGCAGCTCCCGAAGAACAAGGTCCCCAGCATGGCGGTAATGATCAAGACCCTGACGAGGACCAATGTTGATGCTGGTGCTGTGTTCAGGGACCCGACTGGTAAGCGCAGCCGTGCTCATGCCCTGGTCGGGCTGGGGCTCCTGGCTATTGTTCCCTGCGGCTAACGGGTCCCCTCCTCATCTGCAGGAGAAATACAGGGCACGGTGCATCGCCTGCTGCTGGAAGAGAGACAGAGCGAGCTCAGGCCTGGCTCGGTGCTGCTCCTGAAACAGGTAGGAGATGCGAAGGCAAATCTCTGGCAGCAGTATGGCGTTTGGGGCTATTTCTGCCACAGGCACCGCTAACCCACAGTCACTGTGCCTGGCTGCCAGGCTCCCGTCCTGGGGGAATGGGACAAGAGGCTCCTCCGGCTCCTCAGGCTGTGGCCAGCAGCGCCAGCAATAGCCAGAGCTCTGGCTCTGACCCACCACTCTGTCCTCACAGGTGGGCGTCTTCTCCCCATCCCACCGCAACCACTACCTCAACGTCACCCCCAACAACCTGCTCAAGATCTACCCACCGGAGCCCGAGGGCAGCTTCTCACAGTCGTCACCGTCGCAGCAGAAGGTGAGGGAGGGCACGGTGCTGCTGGCCCTGGAGGGACAGGGATGCTGGGACTCCCCAAGGGTATTACTAGGGGGTCTGGACTGCCGAGACCCTCGAGAGCAACCGGGGAGGAAGGGGGAGGCTTGGGAGGGACAGAGAAATCCTCCTGTGGGCCCCCAACAATTAATCTCTGCTGGGTTTTGCAGGTCCCTGCCCAGGCTGGGCTACTCCTGGACCACCCCGCACAGTCCCTCCGGCATGTCCCTGCCCCTGGGGACTGGGGACGATCGAGGATGGGCAGCCACAGCACAGAGCGGTCTCCTGGGGGCTTCTCCCTGCACCCCCAGAGCCCCGGGCCTGGGCGAGAAGAGCCAGTGGGAGCTGACATCTGCGACATGGGTGAGTTGGACCCGCTCTGGGTGGGGAGGAAAAGCTCAATGTCTCGCGGAAAACAGGCCCTGGGGTTGGGCAGTGTCTCCCCTCCCCTGTAATGCCAAAGAGGGGCCCTTGTCCCACTGCATCCCCGGTATGTGGAGTTGATTCCTGCTCTATACACAAGTAGAACTCATGCATTTCATCCTTCTTTGCCTGTACAGATGACCTGGATGGGCTGCTGGGAGAGCTGCCTGAGGATTTCTTCTCCACTCCGGCCCAAGCTGACTGCTGCTGACCTCAGGGAGCTGCGGCACAGCCATGGGGCTGGGGAAACGGTTACTGCTGGCGTGGCCTGGGCTGAACCGTGGCCTGGCAAGGAGGCTGAGCAAGCAGGCGATGCACTGACCAGCCCCCTCCTCCTTTCTCTGTACGTCTGTTGTGTTTGTGCTGGAGCCGAGAGCGGGGGGACCTGGGGAGTCCCGGGTGGGCACAGCCTCAGTGCCTGTCCCTAATCCTCTGGGCGGGCTGGCCCCTCTTGGCTCCTGAACCTGCATTAAAGGGCTGTTCTGTCCCTGCCTCGCTCCGTCTGCTTGTGTGTCACCATCCCCTCTGCCACCGCAGCCAGCAGTGTCCCATCTGTTCCTTCTCTGCTGAGCTGCAAGCACCCCATCCCCCTCCTCTATGGGGGTCCTTGCTCTCCCTCTCCTCTCCCAGGCAGGAGGTGCCGTTACCCCTTGGGGCTCTTGCACAGCCTTGGCCGGCCTGAGCCCTGCGGGGTTCTGGGGTACCCAGATCCCAGCCCAGCCCCATGGCACCGTCCCCATCTCACACCCATCAACAGGTTAAACTCCCTGGCAGCCCCACGCCAACGTGACTCTGTTTACCACCCCGGGTGAGTTATTTATAGGGTGGCCTGGCTTGGGCTCTTGATTCAGCATTTGTGCATGGGGCACAGCCCTATTTATAACCCCCACCCAGGCGCAGGAGGCAGCTTATTGACCCCCTAAGCCTCCCTCTGCCTTCCCGGGGTGCCCATGGCCCAGGAAACCTTCGCCTTCACCTCCTCCGCTCTGCGTTCACTGCAGCTCCAGCGAGAGCTGCTGGAGCAGGAGGATCGCCGGCGAGCCCTGGCTTGGGAATCAGCCACGCGACGGTTCCTGCCGGCGAGCCCCCGGCCCCCCCTGACCCCCCGCCGGCGGCCCCAGTACTGCCGGGACCCTGCTGTTCACAACGCCCTGTACACCGGGGACCTCCTGCGTGTCAAGAGCATCTTTAAGGATGAGACCACCGCCAACCTGATCATGGAGACGGTCAGCGAGGAGCTTGTGTGGTCGCCTGAGCAGGGTATGGGGTCGGGGTGGGGGTTTTCCCTTCCCTTCCCCACTGGGTGCGCTGCAAAATAAATGGGGGGAGCTGGGAAGGGGGGGTGCTGAAGGGAACCAGGGCAAGGAGGGATGGCTGAGGATGCAGCTCCTTGTGGGCTG